TAAAATAAACCCTATTTAATCTTTGTATTAAATAGGGGAATTTGTCGGTCATATATAAAAGGTTCGCAGACCAAACGGATGTCACAAATCTCTTAGTTTGCAGGATTGGGTCTATCGCCGAGGTCTACACTTATCTTTCGGGAGGGCGTAGTATTCGCGGTATCAGACACGATTATGCAAACTATTGGACTAATGAGATCCATTTGGTCTCATTTTTCAAAAATTAAAACATACTACTTTTAAAACTCAAACTATATACATCTTTTATACTTAAATTAAATTTCAAAAAATTATTTTCATATATTCATATTTTCAAATCCATCAAAAAGTTGACCGACAAGAGTCCATTATGAAAGTTAGTTTTACTGAACATGTTTTAGTATTTGAGCCATATGAAAGTTCCCTTGAGATATAATTACTTACCTAAATGTAATAAGTTTAGAATAGTGATTTGTAAGATGAAACATGAGACAAAAATCAAATCTTTAGATGCGATTTGTAAGATGAAATATTGGTAGGAACATTCAAGTTTGTAATGTTCTTCACTATGAGATTAAGATATTGGTTAGACTATTTGAACCAATAAGTATATAAAAAGTTTGTTATAGAAGTGGAAAAGGGACTACATATTCTATTTGAACCAATCCGTTTATCACAATTAAGATCTTGATATCCTCATAAAATTACAAATCTTGTGCAAGAATTGGAAGAGCTTCCCTTCTTTATTTAGAATTCCCAAACATAATCATTTCATCTTAGTTTGTTTGAATGGAAAGAATTTTTCTTCAATCACAACCTCCAAAATCATGTCCAAAACATTAAAATACCAAGCCAAGGCTATCCTATTTGTTTCCCCAGCTCCACCACCTCCTTCAAACCTTTCCAAACTGCAAAATTAATATTATTCTATCAATTCTACCACTGATCTTACCCCAACCTACATCACCGCATCCAAAACCTCATATCCATCCATAAGGCCAAAAGCCTTGCCACCACCTTTATGGCTTCCTCTTCATTTTCATGGAGATTTCAAGCAATGGGAATGGAAACTTGATAAGATTGAGTTCAATGCTCAGGTGTCAATACCTTGCATTTATTTTAGCATCCATCACAAAATAGTGGTTCTCTCATTGTTAACCTTCAGTTAAGAGTTAGCAAACCGTTGAACTTTCTTGCTTGACAAAGTTAGGTCTAGCCAATTTTTGTGGAGAGCTTAGCTTCAATCCCAAAAGTTCCATTCATTTGGTACCTGTGCAAGCTCTAGTTAACTCTAACTAAACACTGAAATGGAAGCATAGCTGTGGCAAAGAAGGCACACCTTGATTGGTTTTTTATTTTTTATTTGCCATGCATTGGACTGACAGTAAGGTGGTTGGTGAGGCAAAGATAGGAAACTGGATTTTCAATTGTAAATGAGGTTGTCTCAAATCTCTTTTAGGAACTTCTAGAATTAAAGTTTATTTCTAATTACAAGCATTGTAGATACTTACTTTCCATCAATTATGATATAGGAGTACTCGAGTTAAAGAGAAATGATTTTAAAACGGAAGCATCTCTGTTGGATTTACAGTTTTCTTGGAATAAAATTTCCACCTTATTTTCTCTTTAGAAATAAATTTGAAAGAGATTACTGTCTAAGAAGATTTAATAAGTGAAAAAAAATCTTTTTAGCCTTCAATTAACACGATGATTTTTTAGTTACAACTTTTTAAGCGGTTGTTTTCTTTTTCTACTATAGTAATGCTTGAGAAGGACATGATGCTAACTTTGAGAGCTTGGAGATACCGATAGATTTATTTAATTTATGCAGATAAAATGCAGGTATGCAAGCTATCTAGTAGGCCTTGTTTTGATCTTTGGTTGTATGAGTTTGGCTATCATATAACAAATGCCTCCACCTATATTGAGCAATTAATTATTGCATTTAGCTGGCTTAGAATGTACTCTATTGCACAAATGTATTTATGGAAATGTCTCTTTAATTCTGTATATGCTTGTATGACTGCATGATAATTGTCACATGAGCAATTCTATTTCGGTCAAAATGCCCTCTCACCATTTGGAAACTGCGTTTGAGCAGCTTATCCGAAAATGCAATTGGTTTTTTACACTAAACACGGGTCGAATACTGCAGTCCGCATTTCTAGATAAGCGGCTTATCTGGATAAGCACAAGCTGCCCCAAACGCGCCCTAAATTATGTACTGAACAGGGTGAATCACACCCGAAAAGGAAACAAAACAGGAAGATTTACATACATACTACTCAATTCTGATGTTCTTACATATCTAACATGTAAACTTCAATTTTTACACATATGCCACCCTACTTATGCATGAGAAGGTGTATTTTACTTTCTAAAAGTTAAAATAGTGGTATTTTTGATTTGTTATGAAAGATTTGGGTTCTATGAATGTAACAAGCTAATTTTAGGTGCTGGACATGTAAATACATAAAAATTAGGTAGTATGTATGTAAAAGCCCCAAAAATTATTGCTAATTGCTATTGTAACTCATAAATGCAGCAAAGGGCAATAACGTGATTTTACTAAAATACTCTTCTTTCTTTTCACAATGCAGGTTGCTCAGGAGATAGATTCAGAGGCAAAGTTTCAGAACGACTTCATTAGCCAATTGGTAAATTGAATCATTGAGCTAAAATATAATCCTTTATTATTCAAGTAATTGTCAATTCATTAGTCAAATCTCAAATTCTATGAGTTTCTGCTATATGGGTATATAAGATTTTCTCAGACCTTTCATTTATATGACAATGGAGACGTATTCATAGTATGCATTGTACACTTATCATGCCCGTCAGATTGCCACCACCAGATAAATTGACTGCTGTTGATCCAATTCTATGCTTATTTTTTAGGTGCATTTACATATATATTTATATCACCCAAATGTGAGCTGCTTTTTAGTTTCTTGAAAAGAATCTGAGGTGCTATTTTGATGCACGAAAACAGCAAATGACACTGATCAAAGTTCAGGCGGGCGTGAAGAACAACATAAGGAGGATGGACAAGAAAATATTCAAGCAGGGTTCCAACCATGTTGTACATGTGATCCTCTTCGTCTTATTCTGCTTTCTCGTCGTCTATCTCTTATCGAAATTCTCGAGGCGCTGAAATAATGACGAATGTTGGCCCGAAGATGCCTAAAAGATTCAGATCAGATCAACTGGATGTAATGCATGCGTTTGTTCCACAAATTAAGCTTTTTCATAGAATGCTGTAGGATAATGCGTGGGACTCAAATATACATAAAGAATTTTTATGTCGTTATGGACTGATGTAATGAAATGTTCAACTTGACGCATAGGTTTTCATGCTGCTTGCCATGTCAGGGAACTGGTAGAGGAAATGGTATGCATGTAAATTGCCCCAAATAAATATTAGAATCCAAAAGGTTCGTCAATGTCAAATGTCCAATTTAGAAAGAAATAAGAAATTTGTTTGCAATTTATAAAGCTGCAATAAATAAATTTTAAGATAAAACCTGTATTATCTACATATAATTATAGAAGATTTTTCATAAAATTTATGTAAGACGTGGGGGCGCACAACTTCTCCTAGATTTCAGCATTGATTACGTCGTACTTAGGCCCTAAATTGCTGGACTTGAATATTCCTGCATGATAGCTGTCCTGGTTGAGTCTTAATTTTGGAAGCAATCCAATTGCAGAGTAGCAAGGAAGTTTACATTAATGATCAAGCCGATGTACTTCAGGTTATGCCGAGTTGGACGGCAATATGATACGCATGTACTACTTTTCTTGAAGTTTAAGCAAGATGAATTTTAAATTTTAAAAAATTATTTTGAGAAGAAAATAAAAAATGAATAATCTAGCAATTTTCTATTTGCACTAATTTTAAAATAATATAAACAATTTTAACACTCATTTTGATTAAATTCTTAATAGAATGTTCTGCTTAAATTTTCAGTCTTTTAAAAGTAGCGATAAATGCTTTTTTTTTTTCCATAATGATTAGTGCACTAGCATTATAAGCCCAATACTTTATATGTTCATGATCTCTAATCTAAATACCCATAAAGGAGATGAAACAATCATCCAATGGGCGACGGAGGAAATATAATGTTCATCATATGTACAGTGGTGTGATTCAGGTAGGACTGTAAATGAGCCGAGCTTGAGCGAGCTCAGGCTTGGCTTGTGTTCGGCTCGTTCGAAATAGCTCGTGTTCGAAATCAGCTCGTGAATAGTGTGTTCGTGTTCGGCTCGATTTAAATATTCGTGTTCGTGTTCGGCTCGTGTTCTGCTCGAAATTGGCTCGTTAAACAAAAATTGAGAAAAATAGATATAAAGTGTGAGATTCGAACCTGGATCAAATCTATACAAAAGAAGACACTAATCACATTGCCACATAAGGTGTTATGATTTAAACTTAAACATAAATATATATAATATATTATTATATAAATAATATATTGTTAAGAGTTATATAATTTTTTTTCGAGCCATTTCGAGTCGGGCACTAGCGAACAAACTGTTGTTCGTGTTCGGCTCGTTTTCATTTTTAGCTTAAAAAAAATTTGTTCGTGTTCGGCTCATTAGGCTTAACGAACGAGCTGAACACGAGTTGCTTAACGAGCCGAACATGAGTTGTTCACGAACAACGAGCCAAATTGACAGCCCTAAATTCAGGCTGTTATCTACATTTTGATTATCAATGCAAAATATTTTCTATCCGGATTGGCATTTATCAATAACTTCATATTATTAGACAAAAAAAATTTATAAAATTTTTTACATCAAATATATTATTATTATTATTATTATTATTATTTTATTTACTTTTACTTTTATCCAATTACTTTATAAATACTCTATTACAAATATTCCAATATAAATTATATCGAAATGAGCATAAAAATTAGAAAGATGATATATATATATATATATATATAATAATAATAATAATAATAATAATAATAAATATGAACAATGATCTTATAATAATCTCTCAAACACCGCACATTTGAAGGCTTATGAAAACTTCAAAGCAATCATTTCTTTCTCTAGGTAGTGTTTGCTTGCACCCTAATTTATGTTTAGTAGACTTTATCAAATCCATTAAAAGTTGGGATTTATCGAACGGAGACATAGATCCCTCCGACCGTGACGAAGTAAATCCTTAAATCAAGCCCATAATTGAATTTATTAAATCCGGATATAAAGACACAATGCAATAATCTGTGACTGAACATGCAAAATTTTAATTTCTCGAAACGTTAGATTTAATTTATATATATATTTTTATATTTATTTGGATATAAATTCACTGTCATAACTTGAAGCGTTTTAAAAACCATTCCAGATGCAACTATGCAACTAACAAAACCTCCCCTAACCTTAAACAAAGTGAAACTCCTTCATATCATCACGGCAACCCCCTCCTTGCCTCACAGTAGCGTACCCGCCAACTCTCCAAACTATCATAGCCTCCACGCAAGAACCAACACATCCTTGAAACGTTACCCTGCAAAAAAGAAACAAAAAAGAAAGAAGAACACAAAGGGCGAAAGCCATATATATTCATAAAACAACCCTTCATCTTTCAATATATAAACAATGAATATTTAAACAGTTAGAAGATCACTCTAATTCATGTCAAAAAAAGTATTACAATCAAAATCCTATCATAGCATCATGTCTTTCTTTCGACCGTTAGCTTCATATTACCGCCGCAATGTTCTGTTTTCTTCTATGATCGGCCATGGATATCATCCTCCCTCAAACCTCAGAATAGCCTCATTCACCTGCAGGAATCTCCACTCCAGACTAGAGCTCAATAACAGCAACAACAGCATCAAGCCATCTCTGTATCCTCAATCTTATTTCTACAGTTGGTAGCCATTTTAACACTTTGAAATCAATTCATGATCTCTTGTACGTTCTTAATTATTAAGCATTTTAATAGCTTTCCTTTCTTTTAGGGCTAAGTGGATCTTGGGTTCAATACTGGCTACAGCACTGCCGTTCTGGAACAGATCCTGGAAAAAGCTGCTGAGATTAGAAGGTATATTTATAAAATTAAACGTAATTAATGAACTTTAGTTTCTTTTATTTTTAGGGAGTGAAAGCGGTGTTGATGAAAGTGTTTGTCTTTGTGGTGTAGATGAGGTTGAAATCGTGGCTGAAGCGGTGGAAAGTGCGGCAGAGATTGTAGAGAAGGTAGCCAATGTTGCTGAGAAGGTTTCTTCGGATATTGCAGAGCAGATGCCGAAAAATGGGAAGCTAAAAGAAGCTGTTCTATTCGTTGAAAATGTTGCTGAAGAAGTAGCAGAGGCGGCCCAGCATACACAAGAAATCATCCACAAGGTTATGTCTCGACTCTTTATACTTTTTTTTTTTGAAAAAATGATGGAATTTTAATTTCTTTTGTTAATCTGTCTATTTCTAAAAAATTCTAAATAATTAATTTATATGAAATAATTATTTTACAGATTAAATAAATATGAAATAAAATATATTAAAATTTAGGAAGATTTAGTGTAATCGGCGTATCAGAAGTATTGAGATTAAAGTTCGGTTGTCGATCCTAGAGGGAACGAGATGAACTCAGCTAGGAAAAGTTCTAGCCTACAATTGTTAGTCCTGACCTGAAATGCTGAAGTTTCAAAGTTTAACAAAAGTTCGTACCTTAATTTTTGAAAGTGAATAAAACCTAAGTTTTAGAACAATTAAAAGAAAATATTATTGATTAAGATATATCCCAAGAATTCTCATTTGAAGTAGTTATGTAGGGATTCAAACTTAGCAAATTGTAGGTGTCAAACATGAGAAAAATCTTTCTTATCTTCTTCCGATAGTCTAAGAAAGATTGAATATTCATTTGTTTGGTCCCCTAAAATCAAATGAAAAGTCCTAGACAACCTCGCTCCCTGATCGATTTGCACGAATTCGAAAAATATAGTCCCATTCAATGTCTTCTTGTGGATAAATTAATCATTCCTTATGGATTTGTTCCAAAATTCTATAATCATGATTAATTTTAACAAATTAATTGGCCAAGTTAAAAGTCTATGAGTACCTAAGTTATTCCAACACCATTTATACAAGTCACACAAGATTCACACCAAATTGCCCAGCCCTTATCCTTACAATTCCACGACAAAGGAAAACACAAATCTACTCACTAGTATGCCAAATTTCATTAGCATCAATATTATATTAAGAGTAAAAATCATGCACAAGAGTCCCACAACTGCCTCTTAAAGAAATAAAAACAAAAACTCAGTATATTTATCTCCTTAAGGTTCAGAAAATGCAAATAAATTACAAGAACATTCACAATCCCCCAATTTCACAAATCTTGCTTCAAAACTCTTAATCTCCTTGCTAGTTGTGTGGCATTTTTCTCTAGAATTTTTCTCCCCGTAATGACAGAAGAAAACTGATGAAAACCCCCCAAAATTTTGTCTCCAAGCTTTTTATATTCCTTTCTCTTCACTCAAATTTAGAACTATTGTAACTGCCAAATTTAGATTTGGACACCTAGGCGTCATTTACTTGAAAACTTTTCCACATAGATCGGCGTCATGGCGCTGCGATCGCGGCGACTTGGCGCCCAATGAACAACGCCAACTTTCTGTCTTCCTGGATTTTTTTGCTCAATTTAAGAGTGTTATGGCGCCTAGGTGCTTAATGACCAAATTTTACTCTAATCTCCAATCCGTTTCAGTTTGATTCCCCCTTTCTCCCCTTTCCTACTACAACCAACAAATACAATGTAAAGCTTTCCTCAAAGTACAATTTTTATCATATAAAACATAAAAATACAAATAGGCCAAATTATCAACATATCACATATCACTTCATTCATTTGTACTCATATATTAACACCTAAACTTCAATATTTACGTACTGATGCCATCTAACCTAGCAATGCATAGAAAGGTGTTTCATTTTCTTAAATTAAAATAATGATCATGTAATATGAAATATTAAGATGATATAAATATAAGAAGTAAAGTTTCCATACAGTATGTAAATGCATAGAAATTGAGGGGTATGTATATAAATCCCCCTAAAGTTTATTAAATTTCTGTCATTTAATTGAAAACATTTTGATTGAAGTTAGAAAAAAAAATATTATAAATAAAAAGAAATAATAAAACAAATATTATAAAACGTCCGGATGCAATATTTTCTTACATGTATGAGATGCATGTCGAGCAAATGCACATGCAGACCTAAAACACTTCATGATTACCAATTATTGCTGAAGTGTTTTATTGAGACATTTAATGGGCACCACGTAAACTTTGTAAAGTCCACTAATAATTAACCTTGTAAAGCTTTTGATTCTGTGCTCTTAAATGTGGCCGTTAATGGTCCAATTTTAAGTTAAGTAAGGGTTAGCTCAAAATTAATTTGAAAAAAATTTGATCCAAAATTTTGGCTTGTTTATTTCGATCCGATCTTGATCCGAACCAAAATTTGAATCAATTTTCAAGTTAGTAATAACCTTTGAGTTAAATTGATAGCCCTGCCCTTGAATATGTAATGAGAGATACAGATGAAAATCATCCATGATTCACAATTAAATTTTTTTTATATATATAAAATGATAAAATTGTAATGCGTCATATTTCTGATCAAACTTTTAATGTTTTAATCACTTGTATTTCTTATGCAAATATATATAAAAAGCTCATCACCAAATTTTTTTTTCAAAATAATCTCAATAAAATATTAAGGAAAATAAACCAGAGTTTATATTGAAGAATTGAGATGCTAACAATTTTTTTTTTATAAACAAAATTTAAAGTTTTCCAAGGGAAAAAAATATTAGGGTGTGGATGGTCTCTCAGCCTATTGGTAATCGACAAGTGGGGATTATGTACCTAATATTTTCCCTTTCTAAGAAGGATTTGTTAATGTTTTGTTAGCATTGCTTGTACGCCCAGGAGAAGCAACAAGAAAGCTCAATGGAGACACCCCACCTACTTGTTGTGTTGGACATGTTAATTTATAAAATATTTTCAAAAAAGAAAAAAAACATATATTTTATTCATTATTTCCAGTATTATTAGTCATTATAATTTTACTGGTACGTGGCTCATCATCTTTAGTAACATTTCATTCGCGGTATTAGGGCCGTCAAAATGGCTCGTTGTTCGCAAATAACTCGTGTTCGGCTCATTAACTTAGAGAACAAGCCGAACACGAACAGCACGAATAAATATTTGTTCGTTCTTGTTTGACTCGTTTTGGCTCGAAATACTACCAATCAATTACATATATATCTTTGATGAGTAGTATTTTTAAGAAAATTAATTGACTACAAGGCCACAAAGATTTAAAATCAATTAAAAGTATAAATAAAGAAAATATAATAAAAATTATTAAATTAGATTCAAATGATGTTTTAAATTTTGCCCCTATCCTTAACATCTTATAGCTACGTGATTAAGGTTGTCAAAATGACTCTTTGTTCGTGAACGGCTCGTGTTTGACTCGCTATGCAAACGAGCCGAACTCGAACACACTTTTTGTGCTCGAAATATAAACAAACCGAACACGAGCTGAGCCTGGGCTCGCTCGTGTTCGGGTCGTTCTACTCGGTATCATTCCCATGAGTACATTTTGTTTCTACAGAGGAAAGATAAAGAGAGGAAAAAATTATTATATCCAGAGTCTGAACGTAGAGATACGTCCAGAGTTTAAGGAATCACCTCCACGTGGAGCTGATAGAAAAAAGAACTTGTTTTTTTGTGATTTGGCCCGGTAACGCAGGAGAATATTCCTCCTGTGTTATTATGTGCTATTCAGGTGTTATTGTGGTTGTATTGATGTGTTTATGTTATTATAACATCGAGAATATTCCCAGAACAGAATAATACAGAAATATCACCACAATAACACCTGAAAAACGCGGAATAATACGTGGGAAATATTCTATTGTGCTAAAACAAATTTTTTTAATTTTTTCTGTCACCTCCACGTGGCGTGATTTTATTAGACTCCGGACATATCTCTACGGCCGGAGTCCAGACGTAATATTTGTTCTAAAGAGAGATATGAGTGTAAGACCTAACAAAAGTCTTGGACATTATCTTTTGAACTCGAGCCTCCGGTAACCCCGAATATCGGTTCATCCACTTCGACAAATGAGGTCCAAAATAGGCATAAAAATTCCATATAGCCATACTTGTGTATACGAGCACACACACAGATTCACCTAATAATATGAGGAGTATGACTGTAAAATATTCACACCACTAAGACTGATCGAAGAAAATATTGAAACATGAAGCATGCAGCATGTTACATGGCTTTAGATCTGATCTGTCATCCTAAAAAAAAATTATATTCCAGAGTTTATAATTTTGATTATATATTTATATGAAATGAGATCATCTCTTAATTTTCAGATGGAGGAATTGAAAGAGGAAATAGAAGGGCTGAAGAAAAAAGACACGGATACAGAAGAAAGCCACAGCAAGCAGAAGAATAAATAATAAATTTCTGCACAGACCATTTTGATTATTCTGAAGCTGTGTTTTTATGAATTTGGGCATGAGAAATTCTTTAATTTGTTTATCTTATGTTCCCCATTAGTTCATATGCATTAAAGTTCTGTGGTTACTTTGTCTATTATTCATCATGAAAAAAAAATAACTTGGCCACTTAATATACTTAAAGGATGTATGCATTGTGCCATTCAAAACTTCTCTTTTTTTCGGTTTATTTTGCATTTAGTTTTTCTTTGACTTGAAGTAATATGGGTTTAAATTATATTCTTGTTGAATCTGAATTTGTCCGAGAGTTACACCTAAGGAATACAACGTAATATACAAGAGAGAAAAAGAGTGCATAATAATGGGTACTAGAATGAAGGAATTGTGTAACCTTTTATTAAGGGAATTGTCCCATATTTATAGGCAAAATGGGTACAATATATATAATTGCATGATTATCCCTGCTTTAATTGGAGCTTTATAGAGTATTTTATGTATTTACGTAAATGTGCCCATGACTTGGCTATGTTATCACTTGGTCGGTTGAGATAAGCGGGCATTGATTCGACAATGCGCGTTCGCCTGACTATGCTGAGTTGGGTGTTGCTGATTGGTTCTTATTAATCTTTGGTCGTTTGGACTTGGTTGGGTCAGCTTGAGTCAACCGGTCGATTGCTTTGGACTTGTAGTCGACTAGCGACCCAATATGAGGAGCTCATGTTGGTAAGATGAGATTAAACTGTCTAGTAGAAGGTGAATCATGATAATCCGACAGATAGCTCGCCCCTTGAGAAAAATTTCTTCGGGGCATTCGTAGATTATATCATGGTAGAACCTTCAGCTTCATTATGAAGAGTCATAGAGGTTTTTGTGAGGTGGTTGGTGAAGTTAAGGCAAGAGTTGGGCTGAGCCATTCTCTGGGCTTGATGGATCTTGGTCACTGGCTCAGACGGCCTATGTCCGGTCGACTTTGAATCACAATCGAAGGAATCAACACTTGGTCAATCAAGTCCTTTGATAATATGATAAAGAGACTTTTAGTCCTCCTTCTATGTGTCATCCTTCCACATATTTTCATGCCTTTGAGTTTATTAGATTCTTAGAGATTTGTGTTGACATTTTTTTGATGTACAACTTTATAAGTAATTATCAACTCACTGGCCCAAAATCAACCTGCATAACTTTTTCAATATACGACATAACAATTATTATGGTCAAAATCAAGTCAATTTTGAGTAACTTTTGAGGCAATCTAGGGTTAATTTCGGTTTAGCTAGTCAGTTTCAAGTTAACTAGTTATTTTTGGTTAGTGGGTCAACTCAGGCCTGAATCAAAAAATTATTAATATTCTAAACCCGAACCCAACCCATAAATTATTCGGGTCAACTTAAATCCACATTTAATTTTGAGTATGATTTAGGTCGAGATGGTTTGAATGAGATTAGTATATATATGGATATTACCAGATCATTCATTATTGTTCAGGAGGCCTTTTCATTTTTATAGAAAACAAAATTCATGAATTTAGATTCTGCAATGCCTATATATGATGATATATTGTATATATTATCATATTCGAGTTGAAATTCACTGAGTGGTGAAAATTATTCGACTTTCTTATCGACATGCAATTCTTTTTTTTTAATTGATATATACATAGGGAAAGTCGTGTGCAATGAAAACTACAAACACAATTTGGGGAGGAATTTTTTTCTTCTATAACAACAAGGAAAAATTATCTACTCCATCCGACTAGTTCCTGGTTCAAGTCCCAGGCAACCCATCAACCCATACCGAAGACTGAAATTTTTTTTTGATAGGTTTGGTCAATCCTATCGTTATTCATTTCAAGTAGTTGGCATTTGTTATACTATTAGATAACAAGTCTTTCACTATCTATCTCATCTCTAGGCTCTAGAGGGATTTGGTGTTGCTCATATATTACAAGAAATGCTTACTTACAAATTTGATCATGTTAGAGCTCGTTTGAGAACATCAACAACTTTGAATTGGACCACTTCCCCTCAACAATTCAGGGCTTGGTCAAAAAAAATTCTACATAATGGAGAGACAGTTAGAGAGGTGACATAACCCTATACTTTTCATTATAAAACTAATAAACCGAAAAAAGATGGTTTGTTTTGTGAAAGAATTTAGGGACCCATAAAAAGTGGGATTTGTGTTTGCTGAAATTACAAAGGAATTGGGACTGAAAAAGAAGATCTGAAATTTTGTGAAGAATGAAGGGCATAATTCGTTGATTCTCAAACACGAGGCACTAAATGGGATACATCAAACTGATATGTCCACTGAATCATGTGTGCTATTTGAAACGTCTTCCTAGTTATGTTGAGAATCTCTTAAATAAGCTTCTTAGGGAATTAGAGAGCATAGTATATTGAGATATGTGATTTGATCAAAATTTTCATTTGACAGATTTGGACTAAGAAACTTTCATTTTATTTAATTTGTTTGGGATGCCCCTGGCTCTGACATGTATCTTGGGAGGAGGAACATGAAGCTCAGAATTATTGGTGCATTCAAGATTTCAAATTTTGGAAGAAAAGGGGATGGAAGAAAAGGGGAATTGATCCATGGTCGATTCCGTAACAGATAATATAGAAATTGTTAGTTATACCTTGTAAAAAAATTCCTTTTGTAGAATTATACATTCCATTTCTTTGAAAAAGAAATTATGTTCAAACAAGCACAAGCAATAATGGTTACAGGAGCTTATCTATTGCATATATGCTTTAGGGGTAATAACCATCTAGGTGAGTAGAGACCTAAAAAAGATCCAATGGAATAATTCAATATATCGACAAAGAAATCCTTTAAGAGTCTTAAAATATTCCTTTCAGGGGATTCATCATTTGAGGGGAAGTAGACTATTTAAGAATTTCACAGTGCCTTTTTTTCTTTTTTTTTTCATAGACATAAAAGAAAGTTTAAAAGGTTAATGACCTTTGGTTTGATAATCATTAGGGTTTAAGGGAACTTGTGTAACAGGTTAATTATGATGATGCTAATTTTATTGCTTCAATTCTTATTGATACTACTAAGCCTGATGTGCCTAAAATTAAAGGCAAATTGGGTGATATTATACTAAATGTTTTGCTAACTCCTTTCAGCATTTTCAAGGTTAAATTTTAAATGGAATTGGAATAATTGGGTTAAACCTTCCATCTCCTTTTTTGTTTGGATCTCCTTTTTTTAAACCTTCCATCTCCTTTTTTGTTTGGAGAGCTTTTCATAATACTATTCCTAGTGATGATATTCTTAAGATGAAAGGTTTAAGATTACCTTCTTGTTGTGTTTTGTGTCATGATAATGAGAATTCTATTGATCACCTTTTTATTAAATGTCGTTTTACTTCTGAAGTTTGGAATGATACTATACAGAAGTTACATTTAAACGGGTTCAACAGAAATCTGTTACAGTATAATAGCATTACTGAGGTTTTCGATGCTTGGAAGCAGCTCGGTAAAGGTTTTGTTTACTGCTATACATGCTGCTATAAGTTGGTTGATATGGATTGCTAGAAATGAGTGTAAATTTAAAAATATTGTTCCCAATGTGCATAGAAGTGTTAGCTTAGTGTTGAGTTATTTATATAAAGGACTAAAATTTTTGACTACTAACACTAAGATTTCTAGAAATTTGAAACATTTGAGTTATCTTCTGGATATTCCTAATTCTATGCATAATAAGATTAATTATAATATTAAGTGGCATAAACTGTGGATGCCTTTTATTAAGATTAACGTTAATGGTAGTTGGAATTCCTTATCTGCTAGCGTAGGAAGAGTTTGTAGAGACTATTTAGGTATGATTCTTTACTAGTTCTCGGCTGGTGCGCTTTCTGATTCCTCTTTGGCTACTGAAGCTGATGCTTTAGTCTTTGGTTTACAATTGGCTATTAATTATGGTTGGAAATTTATTACTATGTAAACTGATTCTTTGGAAGTTTTGTAATTTGCAGCAAGAAAATCACTGGAGTATCAATATTCAGATGAAAAGGATTTTTGATCTTTCAAAGCATTTATTCATTTATTGGTCTCATACCAGGCAAGATGGCAACAAGGCTGATCATTGGGCTGCTAAATGGGGATTAAAGACGCAGGGTGCTAATGTTTCTAAGATTATTCCTCATAATATGATGCTTTTAGCTTTAAAGGATGCTGAGTAGATTGATGATTTTTGGTTGCTCCTTGTTTTTGTTTTCTGTTTTGACTCGTTGCTTTGTGTCGTTTTTTGGTGCTTTGTAGTTTGGTGTTTTGTTTGTTGGAGTCTTATTGTGTTTTGGTGTGCGTGAGTTATTTTTTTTCTTTTTTGGAGAGAGGTCCTTTTTTATTTTCTTTGTGCATTTGTAGGATATGTGTGTTGGGACCTTTTTCACGGGCTTGTATTTTATTTTTATTGTGTAATAAAATTAGAGTCTGTTGCTTTTTAAAAAAAAGTCATATAAGATAAGAAGAAATCAATAAATAAAAAAGTTTTTCGATGGTCGTACAAATTAACCGAGAATTTGGGAGGAGGAAGAAGAAAATGAAGAAGATTTGGAGGAAGAATATTATGAGATTCATTCAAGAAGAACTAAACGAGCGATAATTTATAATGATAATGATCAGAAAACCAATTCTCTCTCTAATTTTCAGAATACTAGTAACAATGATAAAAATGATGATCAAACGGAAGTGGAAGAGGTGGCTTTGATACGTTACTCACAACAATCAGATTTTCGTTGTAATCTAATCAAAGGATCCATGTGATCTCAAAGACATAAAACAGTTATTTGGAACATCTTTCGTTTAAGGGCCCTCTTTGCCGTACTTTCCTTTCTGTTTTTGTATGAAGTTGTAGTTCTCCTTTGATAGATTAGTTGTTAGTTAAATCACCTGCCAAATTAGAGCTTGTCTCAATATGTATGAAGTTATAGTTCTCCTTCGGTGATCCTTCACTCCATTGTCCTAATCATGAATCTATGAATTCATAAAAAAAACTCATGTGTCATTTAAGATATCTAAAAATAAATGTGTGAGATGAGTAACAAATTTGTCAAATTCCAACTTACGTGCATTGTAAAACATTGGAGAAAATTTTTTCCTATCTCATGTGTTGTTCTCTTTAACTGAATTTAATGAATCTACAAATAAACAGTTA